AAAATCGAAAGAGATCTATGTTTTTTTTTTTTCTTGAGAAGAGGTGCACGAATCGACGTAATTTTTTCCGATTTTCCTGGAGACGTCGGCAATGATTTCTTTGTTGCATTAGGAAAATCAAAGTGTAATTTTATTGCCTAATTGCAACAAGAAGAATGCACAAGCAAATGTAACCAGAAAGAGCATAGAGTTTAAACAGCACGCGTGGAAGTTTTTTTAATCATTTTTCAATTTTTATAATAAAAATAGTAAGACTAAAGAGAAAGAAAGATTCAAGATCTTTAAACAAAATTCCCATTTTTTATTTAATTACTTGTTCCTTTTCCAGTGAAGAAGAAATGAATATCGGAAACAAAAATATCAATTTCGATATTTATATTAAAAAAACACGATTTTTAAAAATCTACTTCACATCAAAGAAATATTTTTTAAAGATCTCGAAATTTTCTTACAAATATTTATATTTATATCATTATGCCAAATTAAAATTATTAAGATAAATATGGAATTGTTACAATGTTATTCTTATTCACGTTTTTCGAATCGATAAAGTTTGCAAAATTTACCCGTTGAACATTGGAAGCTCATAACAGAGTACTCTTTTCAATTTCATTAACTTCGATAAAGAAATAAAGAAAAGAAATTGCTCAATAATGTGTATTCAATTGTTATTGTTAAATAATTGAAGAATCGATGGAATGTGTACATATGAACAACGAAAATAATAAGTCTGTTTTCTGTGGCTGAACTAGTGTACACTTTTGGAACTTAAAGTGAGATAGATGTATGTTTGATGTTTATCGAAAGCGAGAAAGTTCTAGTGCAGTCTAGTATAGGAAACAGACTAAATATTAAATATTATGACTTGTTTCTTCGCTTTTAGTTTATGTCAATATTTTTGAAGGGAAAAAATATTTGCGTCCAAATATTCTCACAGAAACGAAAGTCTTGATTATGAGCTTCTTCGAGTTTCTTTTTTTAAGATCCAGCAATATGCTATCTATTATGTATAAACGGTTTTCTATGCATTTTTTAATCGACTATTCGCAGAAGTGTTTGTACATACAGTCATTATGTTGGACTTGTACGTGCCAAATAAATATAACAAATTCGAAATATGTCTCTTTGCAAAACTTAGATTAACATTTGATCGTAAAGATTCGCGCGACCGTAAACGCTTATCATGAATGAACGAATCATAAAGAAATGTATCTAGATTAATAAGAGACCCAATTAATTACTCAAATGTTGACTTTAATATGGCGCCGAGAAGTAATATCTGTACAAGATTTTCAAAAGCTTTTAAAAAATAGTGAGGGATAAAAATTAAATATAAGTAAAATATTTACAAATACAAATGAGAAATTGTTGTAATTTGACGCATATTAATAATACTTTTGGCCTATTTGCCGTAGTAACAGTAGTTTGACGGCAGGCATATGTATATTGTGTCTTTTTTTCACTATACAAGTGTACAACACATTCTGTGTTTAGAAAGGACTCTGCACTAACTGTATGAAAAATTGGGACCCGGTAAAATGAGTTAGTTTTCACATATGTTGTAGCTTATAATGAAAAAAAAGTGTTATATACACATGATTCAAATAATGGATAGTTCTTGAACTATAGTATATAAAAAATGTAAAACTAGTAGATAACTAGTAGATAATTAATCAAAATCGTAAATCTATAAATCTTGTAATTATATGATGCTGATAACTGGCCATATATTTATTAATTATTCGAATATACTGACATTGTAACTATACGCAGGCAATTATGTATATAAATTCTTGGAAGTGAAATCTCTCTCTCACTCTAAACATTGAAAATTGAGTCAGTCTTGAAAAAGAATAGCTCAATTTTCTATCTTTAAAAGTGAGATTTTACTTTACAAAATAAGATTCACTCTAAACATTTTAGTAAACATGTATTACTAGTTTAACAGCAAGATAACGGCATCTAAATTATCAGTAAAACGCCAAGATCTCATGATTCTATAACAGATTGTTATGAAAACATGATGGCAATAACGAATTTTGATGATAACGATTTTAAAGTTGTCGACAACTTGTTGACAAGTTGCTATCTAAAGTTGTTACATCATAAAGGCATCAATTGGCTAACAAATGCAAACTCAATTGCTACAATTTGGAATCAACATACTTAATGAGTAACATATAAGTAACAATTAAAACATGTTGCTGTCTGGATATTTACAGAGCACCTTTGATACTCTATCATTCAAGAATTATATCTGTTACTTGGATCATGCGTACATGACATTTTTTGTTCACCATTCTAAGTTACAACATATATAAAAATTAACTCACTTCATTGGGACCTAATTTTTCAATAATTAGTGCAGGGTCCTTTAGAAATGACGAATAAAATGTACAGCACGAGAGTGCTAATCTTTTCTATCTCCGCTAACAGTTTATAAACTAATTGCAAGTTATACTTAAAAGCGATTTACAACGCCGTTTTATCAAATCTGTTGAAATAAAATTGCTATTCAAAGATTTGTTATTTTTTTCTATAAATGCCTTTAACACTAGAAAGACCGAGGCAGCTAATAATTTGACTCCTGGCGAAATACAAACTGCTATAACTTTTTTCAACTTTACTTCCACACGATATCCTTTTGTAATTTTTATCATTTTTCATGTTCTTAATTTTTATTTAAAAAATTTTTAATTATACATATAAGGTAGTTGAATTTTTATTTGTCTATCTAGAAGGACCCCATTGCAGCCAATTTGGCTCTCTGCTTATATTTGGTCGTATATGTTTTACGATTTTATTTATAAGTTTACGAATTTAAATGTTCAATAAATTATATCATTGTTAAAACGTTAAATATAATTAATCTATACATTTAATTTGATTTATTTACGAAAAAAAATGTGGAGCAAAATTGACTTCTACTGAAAAAGATTTTATTGGGTTCTTCTAGGGAAGTCATCAAATCCAGTCCTTCTAATATTAAAATGTGTATACATACATATCTATTCTTATTCACACACAATTTATTATTAATATGATTATGCCATTTTGCCCATTTTATACAAATAGCCTATTGTTTTACAGAATATGTAATCTGCTTGCTTGCGTATATAAGGCACATATGCTTAGTTATTCTTGAATATAATTTATTCTACAATGATTTCTTATCAATATTTGAGCAGTTATCTCATTAGAATATAAATATTATTTAAGCTATGATTTTTGACGCAGTCCATATTCGAAAACATGAATATCATTCGAGAGACCATAAGATTCTTTAGGTGGATATTTAACTTTTTTAAAAACACTTTCATTCATAATTTTGTTTAAACCTTTTCATTCATGATATTTCATTTTCAATAAACTGTGAATGTATTAATGCTCAATCAACATTGTACAGACAATTAATTCATTTAAAACAAAAAATCTGCATATTTTAGATAATTAGATAATTGATAGATTTAGATAATTGAAAGTAAGAAAAGATTTTCCTTGTCAGGCCTTTTTTCCATTGAGAAAGGAAATATGAACAAATTAATTCATCAATGGTTATCAAAAAATTACATAACGTATGTATTAATTGTATGTACAATTTATACATACATATAATTAATCAAAACAGAATCCTTTATACATTTCTTATAAACTTTCAATCGGGACTATATATATTTACGTACAATGTATATAAATTTTATATTTTTCCTTTTTATATACAATTTATCAGGAATTGAAATCAGTACACTTCATTTTAGTATATTTCATTGAATTAAAATTTAAATGATTAGTATATTAGATACGTGATGATAATTAGTTCTTATAAAAGCGAATAAATGCTATAATTGATATAAAGTCATTAAAAAATTGAACGTATCGATATTATATAAATTCGATTGATATTATTTAATAATTTTGTTAAATTCTATTTATATTGTGCCTTCATAAAAAATACAGCTCTATTAATTTATATTTATGAGTCTGTATAAAATCCAACATAGCCAATGAAAATGTGACATATGTGCATGTACGGATTACATAATCAAAAAATATTTATACTAAATATACATATATTTAAAATATATATTTCGAATACGCCAGGCAGTATCAAGAATTGGCACTCGAATACAATTTACACGCTAATAGACTATACCCAGCAAACGCTAAATATTCTTGAAATATTCATAAAATGTTCCTAAAATCTCAAAAAATACTCCAAAATATTCCGAATATTTACGATATGTAAACAAAACATTCAAATAACGGTTAAAAATGTTATTTGTATGTCGTTACATATTCCACATAAAATTCCAGGTCAGGTTGTCTATAAATTAGTTTTTAAACAAAATTTTACTTTAGAAAACACATTTGTGTTCAACAATATGTTTTCACCTTGGAGTGCAATTTTAGGGCTCACTTCACAGACTAAATGCTGCGCTCCTTATATTGGTCGCGTTCAGTAGACTCAGCATCTGTGAGCGCTCGCTGCTATTGGATGATCTAGAAGAATACACCAATAGCAGCGAGTGCTCACAGATCCGCTCTGCAACAGTTGAGTGTGCTGAATGCGATCATTCTCTGCCAGGTGATTCTTGTTTACGAGTAAATGCTCTTCACCGCAGTCGGCGGAGATGTGTACTCATTCGCTTGCAATTTTCAAATGACATATACAAGAAGTATGCACACAATATTCTAAACATTTCGTCGACATTTGCACATTCTGTGACGATTCTTTTACTATTCCGGAACATTCGTTACATTAGTAATACGAATCAAACTTTTTGTGAATATTTAGCATTATAAGCTGAGTAACAATGATGCATACAGGCACTTATTAAACAATAAATAATTACGAATATATGTATATGTATAAAA